TTATAGAGGGTTAGCAAGGGATCTATGAAGTGAAACCAGCTGTCTGGGTGCATAACTGACAATCATCTGGGGTTGCTAGATCTCTTCTACCTCAGGGCACAATATCACATATCTGTCAACTGATAAAACCTTTTACTAGCAGGGAAGCTAAAAGCTTCTCTCAACTGAACAGATGATTGGCTCACTCCTTCGTTTCATGTGGATGTGCTGCGTGTGAAATGGGCCAGCTGGTGAATGAATGGTCACACACTGAGACCAGGGTCTGAGTGGAGCAGAACATTTTCAAGGTTGAGAAGGGCTGGTTGTGCCTTAACTACGGGTGCCTGTTGGTTGTGCCTTAAATAACTTCTACGGTGCAGGTGGAATATATGTAGGTTAGGGAGCATGTTTTCACAGGGTATTGGTGGACTCAGGAACTTCTTAAAATAGTGATCATATTTTCAGTGTCTGATATTGTCTTGCTGTGTGTAGTTTAATATTTCTTAAATAACTTTTGATATTGTTTTTTAATGTTGTGTCACTAATGGATTCGAGAATGAGAGAACTGTTTTTCAGATGGGTTCCTCCTTTCTGTTGTAAGTGATACGGAGATTTGTTCCTTTAATGCATTTAATTTATTTTTAATTTCAATCTCAGGTATAACCTTTTTTCCCCAGAGTAGTGTTTGAGTTAGGTTAGGAGGTGTGTATCTGTTGAGGTAATATAATTTTGTTGGAGTGCCTTTAAGAGGCCTATTCATGGTGGAGTTAATAATTTCTTAGAATTTTATACCATTTTCTCAGTGATTGATATAATATTGTTTGAAAGCCCTTGAGGCCTGTTATGTGTGTGCATACAACATATTTTTTAATACTTTAATTGTATTGTGTTGTCTAATGAGGCATTTTCTGAGTTCTAATAATTTCAATATCATGTATAACTTTTATTTCCCAGAGTAGTGTTTAAGTTCAGGGTTAAGAGGTTGCGCACATGTCGGTGTACCATTATTGATTGTGTTTGTCTGTAGTGTTGGAGGGAATAGAAGTGTCTAAATTTTACAGTACGTGTCATTCATCCCAGTCACAGGTGCTATCCTTCCACGGGTCACGGAGAATTAATTTTTGTTAGTAAATGGAAGTGTTCTTGTGCTGGTTAAGGTTTTTCTCCGGGGGGCGCTTCCTGCGGTTCCATCTAATAACAATAATAAACCCCAAGTCAAGTGAAAATAATTCCATCAATTCGACCTGTTACATATATATATATATATATATATATATATATATATATATATATATATATATATATATATATATATATATATATATATATATATATATATATATATATATATATATATATATATATATATATATATATATATATATATATATATATAACAGAGACAACCAGGAAAACACAAACATCTTGACTAACTTGGGTTTCCTTAATCACTAACGTTTCGGAAAAATTATTTTCCATCATAAGAGCCTAGAAAACAAAAAGTCAAGATGTTTGTGTTTTCCCTGGTTTTCCTCTTCGTTATGAAACCATGCTTTCTACGTAACAAGTCCATTGCTGAAGTTTATATATATATATATATATATATATATATATATATATATATATATATATATATGCACTTGATCCAAGTATATGCTGATAACCACAAGGAAACAAGAAAACACGAAGTTCCCAAGCGCTTTCGTGTAATTCACATCTTCAGGAGTGAGTACTGACTAAGGAGTAATACTTGACAAGGCTAATATATACAGTAGAGGAGAGTGAGATCAAGTTCCTAGGGGACAGCAGGTGTCCACAATGTTCGGGTCAAAAATTTCTCTCAAATTCCTATACAACTGAAAACCTGGAACGTTAATGTGACATTTAAAAACTCATGCACTGTAAAACAAATGTTAATTAAGAACTCCCCCAACAATGCAGGCTGCTGCATTTACAAGGTTTCCAAACTCTCTTTGTGTTTTCTCTCGTCCAGTCCCATGCACCGAGTCGCTACTCAGTTTCGTTGTCTGACCCGAATTTTGGTGGTTGAGAGAAACGTCTCTCGTCCCTTCTTCTTCCCTGCTGTATTGTTTTATTTCTCCTGTTTGTTTTTTCATCCCCAGCTCGCGGCGATCTGCCCTCGCGCCGAGCTACCCTCGTACAAAGCTGCCCTCGAGCTGAGCTGCCCTCGCATCGACCTGCCCTCGCCCCATTCTGCTCTCGTGTCCTCCTCCTGTCGCCTCCATCTCCGCTCGGGGAGTCCCGCTAAGTCCTTCTACAACAGGCACCTCCGCCCCAGGTCGCCCATGACAGCGGCCAACGGGAAGCGGGCTCGCTAGGAGAAAGCAGTAGTACTCGAAAAGCTGTGACTCCGCCAGATCTCTAGCTGGGTTATGTCGGCAGACAGCTCCGCTTGTCGAGAAGGAAGATGGTCCTAGCCCTGCCAGGAACATCCCCGGTCGCGGCCCTGAACGCCTCGACTCTCTGGCCTCCTATTCCGTGCTGTCCACGGCAGGTCCGTCCCAAGTGGCAGCGCTACAGGATGATAGGAAGTGTGCCCGGAAGGCTGGGCCAGGCCCTCTTTCCATGGGAAAAGGTGGGACTGAACCTCCAGTCGATATGGACGGCAGTTGCTGGAAGAAATAGCTCTCACGTTTCCTCCTCCCCATCAGCGGCCCCTGTAGTCTTTCCCCCCCCCAGGATGGCCGGGTGCCAGACGAGTTGATGGAGATCTTGTGGGCTCCGAAATTAACCCAGTTCTCTCTCCCATGACAGGTCTCTCGGGTAGCCCAGACTACCCTGACCATGGACACTATGGAGAGGCAGAAGGCAGCCTTCTCCTTCACCACTACGGTAGGAGTGGCCCAACTCGGCACCTGGTTGAAGGCACTGGCCGAGAAACCTAACTCTTTCCACCTAGCTAGATAGGGTGTATGGGCTCGGCTGAACCTCTGGCGGGAGGACTGCAGACACCGGAATATGGCAGTGCAGCAGGGCCTGTCATCACGACTGCTCCCCCCCCCCCGCTAGTCGCCAGCACAGACCAGGCACCTGAAGAAGCAGCAACAACAATGCCATAGACAGCTCCCCAGGCACTTCAACAACCAGGGACGCTCTCACGCCTCTCACTGCAACGCCCACCAGTACTTCCGTGAACAGTTCTTTCGAACCCGCTAGGAGTAGGGTCCCGAGGAGCCTCGGCAACCTCGTTGTGAAGGCGGTCATTCTTGGGGTGATTACTCCCGCAGGGCAGCGAAAGGTCAGCTACAGTGGTTCTCCCACACCTGACCACCCGGAGAGGGACTTCTTTTTTGGTTGGGACGACTCCTGGCCCTCCGGCGTCTGGGCATTGAGGTGTCGTCAGGCAAAGACTTACCTAGCCATGGATCTGCCCTCCTCCACTCAGGATAACCATACTACTCAGGACGAAGCCCTTTGCTTCGAAATGGACAGCACATAGCCGTTTTTCTGCCTCAACAGGCAGGGCACGGCCCTCACAGCCCAATTACTGTCATTCTCGGCGCAGATCTTCAAGAAGGCACACCACCTGTCCTCTCGCCATGTCTCGGGAATCGAGAACGGCTGGGTCGACGCTCTATTCAGCTTCAAGGGGACATCAGTAGAGTGGACACTACGCCAGAGTGTGTCAGTCACTGATAGAGTGGAGGGGTCGGCCGGAGGTGGACCTCTTTACCTCTCAGACATCTGCTCAGCTCGCGGCTTACTTGAGTCGGTTGACGCCAACACCACACTGGGGCCCAGACGCTTTCACGGAAGACTGGAACAGATGGACCTACATCTACCTGTTCCAGCCCCCTTGCTCAAAGGTCCTGCTACTAGTCTGCCACAAGCTTTGCAGCTTCAAGGGAAAGGTCCTTCTTCTGGCCCTCTACCAGGCCTGCTCAACCATAGATCTCAGAGCTCCTCGGCTGGTGTTCGCATCCTCTGATGTTGGGGAACGCCTGTCTCTTCGATCTCCTCATTGCCAGACTACAAAGATCACTTCACTTATACGTGTGGAGTTTCTCCGTGCCTCCCTGAGAAGACTGTACTCGCCTAGAGTGGTGGAGGACATCTTGTCAAGACTAAGACCCTCCACTACTCGACAATACGAGTCCTGCTGGAAAGCCTTCCAGCAGTACCTCAAAGAGCAAGGTTCTGTCACGCCCAGTGAAAGTGTAGTTTTATAATTCCTATCTTATCTAGCGCACGAGAGAGGCAGGTCTATCCCGACCCTATCTCTACATCTGGCTGTGCCTCACTACCAGCTCTCTCCTGAGTTTTGATTTTGATAAAAAAAAGCATGTAAGATGTTTTAACTGTAAATTATTGGATCACACAATAAGTAATTGTTGGTTTCTTAAAGACAAAGAGTCCAAGGATGCTCCAACAGCTCTTGCCAGTATAAAGAATTCATACAATATAAAGTTCCCTAGAAAAGATTCACAATGTGTACAGAATGTTAGGGTAGAATTTAAGCCTTTTAATTCAGAGGGTAGAGTCTCCCTGGTGGGTAATGAAGACGGTAAGAAACCTGTGGTTATTTTGAGAGATACGGAGGCCATGCAATCTTTGATGTTAGAAGCTATATTGCCATTATCAGATAACTCCTCCCTAGAGGCTAATGTGGTGTTAACCGGGATAGAATGTGGGCATATTAATGTTCCTCTTTATTGCGTTCATTTACAATGTAATTATTTGGACCGGAATGTAACCGTGGGAGTGGTGCCAAATTTACCCATTGATGGTGTATCATTTATTCTTGCAAATGATTTGGCAAGAGATAGGGTGCTCTACAAGCATTATCCTATTGTTTTGAGCGTCCCAGACCTAAGTGACAGCAGTGCGCAGATCGAGGCACCCTGACACGGACATGGCAGCCCCAATGAATCGCGAACAATCTAAAAATCCTCAGGTATGTGACGGTGTGTTAGTCGGCCTCCTGCAGTATCCCACTTTCTTATGTTCTTATGATATGATCGCATTATTTAATCACGTAGTTGAGGACGAACTAAGTAGTGATGCAGTGTACCAAGAAGGGGTGGCTGCCCAGAGGTAACATAGACGACTACTGTAATCACTGCTGTATACATGACGACTCCCCACTTCTTCACCTTCGACGGTCACCAGTACGACTGGCACGGTACTGTAACTACTCCGAGGCTCAGACTGATATGACTTATGACCCCGAGGCTGGTGTCTTCAGTGACTTTGAACCGTGTTTTCAGTGTCCTTCCTGCCTCGGATACACCGCTTTCAAGGACGATAAACACACCGTGATATCATTGGGCTCCAGTGTGTTCAACCTACTGTTGAACGGCGACCCCTACACGGTACCTGCTATTGGGGCGGAACAAGTGCGGTGTTCATCCAAAGTTCACTCTGTTCTGGCGTGGCTCAACAGCCAGTGTAGTGTACTATGCTACTAAGCTCCTCCAAGCTTATGGTGCAGCACTGCCGCCATCGTCTGGACGTGTGGGCTCACCTCACACACGCAGACAACCTGGACGGTCTGTGTGGACACTTCAACTTCTACGATGCTGATGACTTCACTAGCAGGCAGGGTGACGTGCACCCGCTCGAGTACTTCCCGCCCACTTTCCCTCATTCCTGGAGGAAGCAGGACCATAACGACCACAGGTGTCGGCAATGCAAGGGTTGTCAACCTCCCAGAGTCAATCGTCTGTGCTGAGCTGATGAGTGGCAGCTGGCCAGGTACAGGAGAATGTGTGAAGAGTACTTGGGGTCCATCATTGACCAGAACACTAGGGCTCATCATGGCACTTTAAGATTTATATATATCCTGCTAAACACCTGTAAAGGTGTTCACTGTTCATAATCCACTGACTTTTCTTGAGCGAATGAGTAATAAGAATCAAAGAATCTTAAGGTGGAGTCTGGAGTTGCAAAGACATAACCTTGATATCCACCACATCAAAGGTAAAAGAAAATATATTGGCGGATACTTTGTCCAGAGGCTGAGATTGATTATTTCCACATTTTTCGACTTAATATTGCAGAATTAGACTAAAGTTGGCAATTTTGGTGTATGTTATAATCTCCAGCTTTCACAATGTGTATTAGAAGTTTACTAATATAATCTTACTCACACCATTAGAGTGTTGGTGAAGGATTTTTGGTAATTATGTTTATTGGTGGTTTATTTTATCAGTTTTATTGTTTGCATAAACCAGTAATATGTGCAGATTCTATATTGAACCCATCTATTGTTAAAAAAAAAGATGTCTAATGACCCTTTTTCCTTTAAGGTGGGAGGTATTACGAAGCTTAATATAGAAAATGCTTGAGGATCCAACTGGTACCTGACCATCGACCCGAGTTTGGCTGCTGAAGAGTCAATGTTTTATGTCTAAGTAAGTTATTGGAAGCTCCAACAACTTGTTCCTGAATACGAATTCGCAACTTTCGATTTACAGAGTGACGATTGTTAATGTTTGATTTTTGCTGGTTGTTGGTGTTTCTTGTCAATATATTGTGAATTCCAACATTGCGTTTGTTACTCCTCTCCTAGAGTGATGTAGAATACCTGAGTAAGACTGAATATTATATGAGCAATAGGCTAAACATGAGGTGGAATGTAAGTAAACAAGGCGTTCGAGTCTGTGGGGGTCGGTTACCGCCCGGTTCCCGGTAAGGTGTCCAGCTCAGGAACAAAAGTTCGTAACAATATATATATTATCTTTTTGTATTAATTTGCATCAATATCAGAATATCATATGACGCTAGTATAAATCTTACACCCTTGCACTTACTGCCATAAAATACTATCGTATTTTGTCGTCTCTGCTGTAAAAATAGTGTACTGCGAGGACCGGGGACGCTGCTGTATATTTTACCGTTGACTGAAGGTAACTGGAGGTATAATCCTTGGCACTGAATTTCCCATTAAACTTGGAAGGAGTGTTGAGCGCCTGGGAGGTGACACTTGAGTCTTAAAATGCATTAAGGTGATTGAATTTAGTTTCTTTACCCGCAAGTGTTATAATGGAGTTGGGAATGTTTTACCGCGTCAGGAACCGCAGCATAATTCCCTGTGCCAGTGTCAGTGTTCCTCTCTTTGCCCTGTTGTTTGTTACTGTTTTTCTCAGTTAAATTTATCCCTATAACATTATCAGAACAGTGCCACAGAGAGCATCTTACCAAGCAAGCTCATCACCAACAACAACTAGACTCAGTGCCACAAAGAACAAGTTCATCACTAACAACTACTAAGCACAGTGGCAGAGCCTAAAGAGCCCTCAGAAGGAACCGCACATCAACAACCGGTACTGAAGCAGTTTTACGTTCATCTTGGTTAAATTTTCTCTAAGGTTCGTGCATTAAACTTAACCTTTGACTGATCATGTGAGAATACATACATCTGGCTCACTTAAACTAGCAGCTTAAAATGCCGTCGAAACTACTCTGCGATTACAATTATCATGATAATAAATGTTATTAGTATTCTCTTTTCTTTTCTTTTTTCAATTTAACGAAAAATAATAAAATATATTGGAAAATCATTCAATATTAACCCTGATCTGCAGAGGCCAGGTAGGACGGTATGTTTACATTGTCAACAAGGAATAGCATTATAAAGTTTCCATCACGTAATAATAATAATAATAATAATAATAATAATAATAATAATAATAATAATAATAAATCACCCTAAGGTAACATAGTAGTAATTTACCTGTATGTAGTTTTCACTCAATAATATAATGATATAAAAATAGAGCCTTAAACTACACATGGATTTAAATATCCATACGCATATAATACAGGTAAATTAAGAGTAGAATATATAGGAGAGTGAGGAAAATTTGGTAGCGTGGCCGGTTAGTTATATAACTTAGTATTATATTCGTAGGGGTAACTTTCTGAACACTAACTTCAGGTTACAGCTATTTATTAATTAACTCCATGACACAGACACATTAATAGAACATTATGTCGAAGTTACTAGACACTGACTCTCGGGCACAAACATGAAATGGATACACTTCCCACCGTAAGTAACTCACCCTGTGGATCGCTCTGACAATGACTCACGTGCGATCTGAGGGAGGCCCAGCGGCTCGGGAAGCTGCAAGTGCTGCTGGAATATGTCTCCTATGGGAGACTCTGCTAGCTGAAGACTTGGTGCTGGGGAGGGAAGTCTCCCTCTGGGGAGGAGCTTTCGGCCCCTTCCCTGTAACAATAATAATCCGAATGCTAATGTTCCATGAAAGGAGCTGCAGGGCCTTATATTGGCAGTCACGAGCCGAAAGATGTCGTCACTAATCTGGGTGTGTCTGGTCAGGTGACAGGTGTACTGGCTGGAGGGTAGCTTCTTGAGTAACATGGTCATGTCGCCAGGTTAGCTAATGACGCAGCGGCGAGAACCGTCACTTCTACTTGGGTCAGGTCTGGACAGCTGTGCTTGCCCAGGTGCGTGGTCATGTCGCCGGTCGGTAATGCTTCCGAACTATTCCCACCCGGGTGGGTCTTGCAGGTGTAATTTCTTTAACACGGTCATAACGCAGGTTAACTCAGGTACATTGTGGCCGTCAGCTCTCCTGGGTCAGGTCTTACTCTCACTGTAGGCTGTGTCAAGTTACGTGGGTGAACACCTGCCCATCTACTTACTGCTATATGTGCTTTTCTTTCTGGGGTGTAAGCTATGGTCTGATAAACAATCAATACACACATTTATATAAGTAAGAGTTATCCTTGATACTATAATATTCTTATATATGAAACATTATTAATGCTACTATCAGGTGTAAAATCCCCGCAGTAAAATCAGGCTGCCCAAATCCTTGAGTTTATAACATGTATAAGACAATAGATTATCACTCAAAAGGTCGTTATAACTCGCAGGTTTGATGGTAACGATGGTTCTCTCTCCTTCAACTTGGTCACATTCTCATCAAACTGTAATCACCAGCTCGTGTGATTATGAGGTAATCAAGGGTCTCGTTGTCTATAACTTGGGTGAGGTACGCAGGTAAGTGTGAGTCTAGACTTTCGTTATGGCCCTACTCAGTCAATTGCTGCAAGCGGCTACAGGTGTGGCCAGGTAAGAATGAGCCTTCTTATTACTACTAACACTGATTATGTTTGCCTAGTATGATCTCACACTGATTATATTGTAGAAAGAATAACCTCACACTAATTATATTGTAGCTAGTATGACCTCACACTGATTATGTTGTAGCTAGTATGATCTCACACTGGTTATGTTGTAGCTAGTATGATCTCACACTGATTATGTTGTAGCTAGTATGATCTCACACTGATTATATTGTAGAAAGAGTAACCTCACACTGATTATATTGTAGCTAGTATGACCTCACACTGATTATGTTGTAGATAGAATGACCTCACACTGATTATATTGTAGCTAGTATGTTCTCACACTGATTATATTGTAGCTAGTATGACCTCACACTGATTATATTGTAGCTAGTATGACCTCACATTGATTATGTTGTAGCTAGTATGACCTCACACTGATTATATTGTAGCTGGTATGACCTCACACTGATTATATTGTAGCTAGTATGACCTCACACTGATTATGTTGTAGCTAGTATGACCTCACACTGATTATGTTGTAGCTAGTATGACCTCACACAGATTATGTTGTAGATAGAATGACCTCACACTGATTATGTTGTAGCTAGTATGACCTCACACTGATTATGTTGTACTTACAATGACCTCACACTCATTATGTTGTAGCTAGTATGATCTCACACTGATTATATTGTAGCTGGTATGACCTCACACTGATTATATTGTAGCTAGTATGACCTCACACTGATTATGTTGTAGCTAGTATGACCTCACACTGATTATGTTGTAGATAGAATGACCTCACACTGATTATATTGTAGCTAGTATGATCTCACACTGATTATATTGTAGCTGGTATGACCTCACACTGATTATGCTGCAGCTAGTATGATCTCACACTGATTATGCTGTAGATAGAATGACCTCACACTGATTATGCTGTAGCTAGTATGACCTCACACTGATTATGTTGCAGCTAGTATGATCTCACACTGATTATGTTGTAGCTAGTATGACTTCACACTGATTATATTGTAGCTAGTATGATCTCACACTGATTATGTTGTAGCTAGTATGATCTCACACTGATTATGCTGTAGCTAGTATGACCTCACACTGATTATATTGTAGCTAGAATGACCTCACACTGATTATGTTGTAGCTAGTATGACCACACTGCTAGTATGACCTCACACTGATTATGTTGTAGCTAGTATGACACACTGCTAGATAGATCTCACACTGATTATGTAGATAGAATGACAACACTAATTATGCTGTAGCTAGTATGACCTCACACTGATTATGTCACACTGATTATATTGTAGCTAGTATGACCTCACACTGATTATGCTGCAGCTAGTAT